TCAGGTATCATTTCAGGCACTAGATCAGTCACTACACCTTGGGCAAGTGACAGTCCTTTCTGAGCCCTCGTTTTCTTATCTGTCCAGTGGAAAGAACACAGGGTGGGGCAAAAGTAGGTTTACAGTTGTTCATATGGAAAATAATACAATAATTAATAAATAATACAAGAATAAACTGTTTCGTGTACTCACAACTGTAAGCCTACTTTTGCCCCACCCTGTATATTAATTCATCCCAAACTCTTCTATGTTGGGCATTGTTAGTGATGTAGCTGGGCCCTGTTCTCCTGGGGCTCATAGTCTAGTAACTTAGACAGACGTCTCCACACAGTGAGCCCAGAACTGGCAGGACTTTAATAGCAGAGGCAGAGTGGTCAGCGGTGTGATGGAGAAAACATGGAATGCACCCAATATAACTTGGAAGGTCAGGGAGGACTTCCTGGAGGAAGGGACAACTGAACTCACTCCTGCAATATGAGTAGTAGTCAAGGGAAGAAGGTGTAACTGATCTTCCTCAGGTGTCTCCAGGGAGCAAGACCCATGCAGAGAGCCCTGGGGGCGGCCTGGGTCCTAGAGTCTTCCTCAGCAGGAAACGGGATCCCAGTCTGGATCCGAATGGCACAGAAGGCACTGTTCTTAGCCACAGCACTACTGTAACAGCTGTTCCCATTTGTGGAGCACTAAATGCATATTCTGTGAGCTTTGGAGCCAGCCTCCTTGGGCTCAAATCCCAACTCAGTTGCATACTGCCCATCTCCTCGGGCAGTCACTTCCCCTGTGATTCTCAGGTCCCTCATCTGTAAAATGGCAATAATAATAGTACTTCACAAGATGACTTCACAGAGCCTGCCATGTTATTCTGTAATGCTTTGACCAGGCCCTGTTCTGGGTAATTTACATGAGAAAATATAATATTATCCTCTCTCCACAGATGAGGAAACTGAGGCATGGGAGGGGCGTTCCTTGTTTTAGACACAGAATTAGGAAGTAATAGATTTCCAGTCTGTCCCCGCCCCCCGCCCAATGATACATCAGCAATAGCACTTACACCAAAGGCCCATCTACTGAGCTGTTACCTCTCCCAAGCCCTATGAAGGTGACAAGGTATGGGCATCTGAGCCAGGCCTTGATAGACAAATGGGAAGGGCATTCCAGACAGAAGGAACCATGTATGCAAAGGCCTGGAGGTAGGAAAGCATGTTAGACATCAGCTTCTGTGACGAGTGTGGAGTGAATGGGGGAAGGATAGTGGTGTAGTTGACATGGGCCCCTCTTAAGTGTCTTTAAATGATCAGCTTGGGAAACAGCTTTTTTCTTGAGGACACTAGAGAATCATGGCAGGGTTTCTACCAGAACAGGGTCATGGTTGGGTTTGTGCCTTAGGAAATCCCCCAGCTTTTCTGTGGATGTAGATGAGAGGGGGAGACAAAGGCTGGGTGCCCAGGGAAGGCTATGGCAGGAACAAAGCAGAAGATCATGGCGCTGGACAGAGCCAACAGGAGGGGGTACAGGTGGAAGGATGCTCAGAAGGCCAAGTGGACAGGCCATAGGCCTTATATACTTGGGGTGGGACAAGGCCATGGAAAGGTGCAAGGGATGGTCAACTGCAATCGAGATGGGGGCCTTGGAGAAAGAACAGGTTTGAGGGAAGATGCTGAGGCTAGTTTGGAACATGGTGAGTGTGAGGGGCTAAAGACACCCAGAGGAAGATATCAGGAGGCCACAGAGCCCCCAGGGCTGGGGCTCAGAGTAGGTGAGGCTGGAGACAGATGCAGGAACCAAGGCCATGAGGTAGGAGTAAAGAGAAGACCAGCCTTGAGAAATCAGCTTAAGGATATTTATATTTTGTATCAGTAAGGAAAGATTTGGGCAGTGGGTAACAAAATCTAGAATGGCACGAGGTGAAACAATGAGATGAGTGTATATTGCACAACACCAGAGTTGGGGAGAGCTCTAGGCATGATACAGTGACAGTTCCAGGAGAGTCTTGGACCCCAGGTTCCCTCTCTGCTCTGCCACCCTCAGCTGAATGTTTGGCTCCCACATGGACTCCCCTTATGGCTCCAAAGTGGCTGCTGCAGGCCCAGGCATCACAAGCAGATGTGGTAATTTTTAGTACAAGAAGAGAGTGGCATCTTTTTCCATGCTGTCTCTGGAATCAAGAAAATCTTTTCCTGAAGCCTCCCAGCAGACTTCCTCTTCCATCTCATTGGCCAAAATTGCCTCACATGCCCATCCTGAGCCAATCATTGGCTTGAGGAATTCAGGATTATCTTAGATTCTTCAGGATTCCTCCTGTTCCCCAGAACTGAGGCTGGGGGTAAGGTTTCAGCTTGGAGGCTGGTGAATACTTGAATGAAATTGGGCTTCTATTAGAAAGGCCGAAGAGTGGGAGGATGGGTGGATATTGATTAACAAATCAGCCAAGGCCATCATGTATAATTATGCATGTTGGGACCTACATAAGCGATGCCTGACTGGCAGGGTGGACACAAATAGGGTCTGAAGTTCAAGGCTAAATATGCCAAAAGGAGGCTTCTTTTTCTAAGTAAAGGCCCCATATGGTGAGCAGTGTCCCTTCAACCAATGTCCTCATACTAGAGAGAAGAGTTTACAAAGAAGACAGAAAAGGAGTTCCAGAGAGGAGTAGGAAAACCAGGAGGGTGGGGAGTATTGGTAAAAGAATGAGAGTATTTTAGGAAGGGAGAAGTCAACATTGTCAAATCATGCTAAAAAGGCACACAAGATTGTTTTAATAATAGTAATAGAAAACACATATAGGATTTACTATGAGCTAGGCACTGCTCCAAGCCCTTGATACATAATTTATTTACCCCTCTTATCAACTGTTAGATACATTCTCACCACATTTTATAGTTGAGGAAAGGAGGCCCAGAGAGATCAAATGATTTGTCCAAGGTCACACAGAAGTGCAAAATGGATTTGAGCAAGGTTTTGATTGGTCACCTTGTCCCATGGGAGTTCAGAAACACCTACTGTCGAGCTCTTTCTCAGTCTCAGTCTTCTGTCTCCTCACCATGCTAAAGTCAGCAGCTCGCGGGGAGGCAGTTGTTTCTCCCCTTCTTGAAAAAGAAACCAGACCTTGTTCAGTTGAAGACATTTTTAAAAAGGTGCATGCCACCCTAGCTGGTTTGGCTCAGTGGATAGAGCTTCAACCTGCAGACTGAAGGGTCCTGGGTCTGAAGGGTCCTGGGTTCAATTCCAGTCAAGGGCACATGCCCGGGTTGTAGGCTCGACTCCCAGTAGGCAATGGTTTTCAACCTTCCTAATGCCGCGACCCTTTAATACAGTTCCTCATGTTGTGGTGACCCCCCAACATAAAATTATTTTCGTTGCTACTTCATAACTGTAATTTCGCTACTTTTATGAATCATAATGTAAATATCTGATATGCAGGATGTACTTTCATTGTTACAAATTGAACATAATTAAAGCATAGTGATTAATCACAAAAATAATATGTAATTATATATGTGTTTTCTGATGGTCTTAGGCGGTCCCTGTGAAAGGGTCGTTCGACCCCCAAAGGGTCACGACCCACAGGTTGAGAACCGCTGCAGTAGGGGTTGTGCAGGAGGCAGCCGATCAATGATTCTTTCTCATCATTGATATTTCTATCCCTCTTCCCCCTCTCCCTTCCTCTCTGAAATCAACAAAAAAATATTTTTTAAAAAGGTGCATGCTAAAAATTCAAAAGGTACAAAAGAGTATACAGTGGAAAGTCAATCTTTCTCCAGCACTCAGGCTGTGTTGACTGATTTCTCAGACAAATACGAGCAATATACATGTGTGTCAGTGTCTTTCACTCTACACAAATGGTACCTAGTGTGATTCTGGAGACAGAGTCCCTGGATAGAAATCAGAACTCTACCACTCCCAATCAGGGCAGGTGATTTCGCCTCCCTGTGCCTGAGTTTGCCACTCTGTGAAATGGGAGGATAATGGCACCTACCTCATGGGCTTGTTAGAGAATTAAGCAATTTAATATCTGTAAAGCTCTTAGAACAGTGTCTGGTATTCATTAAAATGTTAGCTAATCATTATCATTTCTGCACTTTGTTTTTTTATATGTTATGTATAATTTTATATACTTTTTCTAATATTCTCATTTCTGCACCTTGATTTTTTTTTCCCACCAACCCAGTGTAATTCATAGGTCATCCCAGAGACACACAAGTAGGTCTTAAATCCTAATTTCTGCAGTGCCTCCTCTAGGACACACATCCTATAAATTATTCCAACATCTCCTTAATGGACATGTGGGTGGTTGGCAGTTTCTGGCATAAAGGATGTTGCAGGGTGTACCTTTGTATCAAGGTCTAACAGAGGCACCCCCCATGGGGCTGTATTTCTGAGCTGGGATACCATGAGAAGACACCAGTCTCTCCGATTCTGCTCAGGAATCTAGAAGGGCTCAGGTACACAGCTGCTGAGTTTTCTCTCTCAGATGAAGTCATTCTTCCCTGGCCTATGGGTGGGCTAGGGGCGGGAGCCTACACATCCATCAACTATTCATTTACCTAGAACACCTATTCTGTGTTGGACAGAGTTGGGAACAACAGTGACAGAAAGCCCTAGGCCCTGTCATCTAAAGTCTGTGATTTTGTGGGAAACAAAGACCGGTTCCCAGATTGTCATGTTCTGGTGTGGTCAGGGGAGGGATAGGGACTGGCCATGTATCACAAGACCCCAGGGAAGGAAAGTGTTCAGCCACCGACAAAGTAGAGAAAAGTGTTTAAGAAGGTGCTGCAGCATGTGCAGTCTGGAGAGAGAACACGCCTCACCCAGGAATTCAAGTTGCTCTGTGTAACTAGGCTGTGGGCTACATACACCTATAGGGAGAAAAGAGAAGAGCTGGATAGGAAGGCCAACAGGCAGGGTTCTGGAAACCAACTTTGGAGGTTTCCCCGAAGTTCCAGGGAGTCATGAAAGGTTTTAGAGCACTGGTTCCCAAGGTGTGTGGGCCCAAACCGTCAGTATCAGCGTCACCTGGGAGGGGGGGCGCCAAAGTTTACCACCTAAAAATATGCCTTTGGAGGTGCTGATTATTTCAAGCTGGTTATTTTTGACAAGAGATAGAGGACCTGCTCCTGACAGGAGCTATCGTCAGAGATACCTACAATTCAATAGGAACCAGGTGTGATAGCAGGGGGGACCCTGGAAAAGCTTAATTGACCAGAGTCCTCTCTGTGTCCCATTGTTAAACAAGGCTCAGCAAACATTTACTTACAGAACATCTGCTTTTCTATCTCCACGTGAAT